AGGCCCAAGCGGGCCCTCCCGCCGAGGCCGGCACCGCGTGGAGCGGAGCTCCCGGCCCGCGCCAGCGGCACGTCCGAGCGCTCCGGCTACGGGAGGAAGGGCGCGTGGGCAAAGCAAACACTGCGTCCTCCTCGCGCGGCAGGAGTGGCCGCCCCACGGGGCAGCAGGGCGGGCGAGGGGAGCAACCGCCCTCACCAGAACGGCCAACGTGAGGAGACGAAAGCGATGCCCTGCGCGCGGGTCTGGAGCGGCTCCCCCGCCACCAACGTGCACCCCGCACCCCGCTGACCACATCGGACAGGCGCGAGAGACTGGGCTTTGACCTGCAGAAACCATTTCCCTTCACTGTGAAATGGTCAGGACACGGAACCGCAAATGAACCGGACTAGTGAAGTTCATGGATTGAAAAACATGAATTGAGAAAAATAAAGAACAGCAGGTACACGTGATATCCCTGGGATATCCCTGGTTAGCTAGCCAGCTAGCCACTGCAATAAACACAGAGGAATAACTTAGGAGGGCACAAAAGGAGTAACTTTTAAAATTTACTTGACATTTACTCTGGAGGTGACAGTCTCTGCAGCCCACCTACTAAGCCACTCTGCACTAAAGAGTGCACTTAATGCAGCTCATTTTTGAAGCTCACCTTTGAGATTTGAAAACTGCTGCTGCTTGTCCTGGGCCTGATGCAGCCTTAGTTTTGCCAAATGGTAACCTTTTAGTCACCAATTATTTGGAAAGAAAAGGAAGCAAATGGACCAAAAATATAAACAGAAGTAACTAAAATTACGTAGGTGCACGCAGCATGAAAAACTAGAAGCAAACAGGAAGATAACTCTCAGATAAAAATCTAGCCGATGTGGAGAGAAATAACAGTGAAACCTCCTCCCGTACGAGGGAAACGGGTGCGAGTTTGCTGCCTGCAGAACTAGGTCAACGAGAACGGTTAAGAACCAGCTCCTCAGATCAATGGAAAGTTGTGTGAAGATGCCCGAGAAAGCGAAACCAGCAGGGAAAGCACCACGTGGCCCCGTGTGCACGGCTTCCTCAAGCGTGTTCCCTTTTATGACTTCCTATTATTGCCATGCAGCAACGTTGTGCAACGAGCTCAGGGACACGCGGTTAAAGGCTCTTCCCACTGCAGCCGTTGCCAAAAACGCAAGGGACGGAGCCCGAGCGCCCGCCCGTCCTGAAAGGGGCCGTTCTGCTGCTCGCTGGGCGCCCCCGCGCTCTCCATCCCGCTCCTGCCTCCTGGCAAGGGCTGCGGAAGGACGAGCAGGAAGCGCCGCCCGGCTCGGCCAAGGGCTCCTTCCAGCGCTGCCGCCAAACCAAGCGGCAGCGACGGGCTACGAGCAGCCCGGCCGCAGAGCGGGGCAAGGGGGAGAAGGGGCATCTCCCGGGGAGGCCGTTCATCCCATCCCGCGCGCAGCGGCACCCAGCAGGGCACCCAGCTGGGCACGTTCACGACACAGCGCCCAGCAAAACCACAGCACAGAGCGCGCCTGAAACCACGCAGCAATGCCCAGCGCAGAGCGGCCTGAAAAACCACGCTTCCAGCACCCGTTCTGTGCCCCAGATGTTGGGCATCATGTGCATTTTTTTCAATGGCAGCAGCAGCGGTGCTAGTGGTAGCGTGTAGG